CCCAAATTCGGTTCTTTAAAATTGAAAGGGAAAATGGGTTCAATTTAACAAATAGCCAATTGATTTAAAATAAAACGAACTTGGTATAAATTTATTAACGAGCTTATTTATTTAGTAACATAATTTATAAAAATAGCAAAAAGTAATTCAAAAGCATAATTATAATTTAAATTAAACTAGTTTGATAAAGCATTTAAAAATGTATATTTTTGATGGTTTTGAATAATCATAAAATATACAAACTATATACATAATTACGTAACATATATATACTATCTAAAGTTATGATAAGTAGCATAAAATCCATGTACTATATATATTTTATATATATTTTATATATATATATATATATATATATTATTTTTTTTATTTTATTATTATTATTATTTTAACAAGATTTAAAAAACTAATTAACTTAAATAGTTTGGAAAATTCACGAAGCTCGATAATTAATTTATACCAGCATGGGTCAAAAATTGGGTGTCAACACATCATATATTAAATATACTCAAAATTAAGTTATTTATATATTTCATAAATAAGCTTTTTAATTAACTGTTAAAATAAATAATTTATTTTTCAGATGCCGTCATATACATATTCTGTATTTAAAAATTCATTTCTTTTATAATTATTTAACATTGTAAATGAGGGCAAAAATGGAAGAATTTTTCAACATCTCTCTTAAATTTGAAACAATTCACTTATTTTGAACTATGAAAAAAGGCTCAACAATTTCACTTATTCTAAAATAGAGGGAGTATCAGAGTATGTATTATTTATTAAAACTCGAGATTTTTAAAAAAATTTCTTAAATAATAATTTTTTTTTATTTTCTAACTTTTCAGTAATTAAATAAAATGACCACAACAAAACATACAAAATACACACTAAAATGAATTGAAATATTATTTTAGTGAAATATATTGAGTAAATAAAGTTAAACTTTTTTAATTTGTGTGAAGACGAAAAAAATTATAAATAATTTCAATATGATATAAAAACAAACAACCACAGAAACTCTTATATACTAAAAGTCCTACTTATTCTTTTTCTCCCATTCTTTGCATTTTTGTCATTATTTAAATTGTGATCTTTTCTAAATAATTATACATTTAGTGAATTTTGTAACTCCACAAAAGTTAAAATATTCACTATTTATTATTTGTATAATTATTCTTTGATAATTAAAACAAATAAAAATGACTATAATTTTGTGTTGAGTTGTTTTTTAAAATATTAATATTTATTGCTTTTCAATTTTATTGTTATGATTTTTTACATTTATATTTTGTTTGATTGAAATAGTAGTTGTTCTGTCCTTTGTATTACTATTGACATCCTTTTTAATAATTTTCATATTTTAACTTGCACAATTTTTTTAAAATAAAGAATTTTGTAAAAGATTATGTACCTAACAAGTATGTTTTTTTGTTAAATAAATCCTATTGAAGACTTATATTTAAAAAGGTCTATGTTCAGTAGTTCCTTATATAAAAATAAGTATCCATGCTTTTAAAAAACGAGAAGTGGAGATTATTTGCGTTTCATTTGATGATCCATGACAAATAGAAAATTAAATTAACATTTTTTTCAATATATAAAACATGTTCTTTACAACCTAACAAAATAATGCAAAAATAATATCTTATAAATTGAAACAATTATTATAAATATTTTATAGCTTTTACTAAGTATTGAGCTTTTTTTTTTTAAATACGTGTTAATTTATAAAAGATATTATTTTCAAAATAGTTGTTAGGATCGCGCGAACATGTTAACTAGTTAAAAATAATTGAGGTCTTTTTAAGAGGTATATTCTTTTTGGCTTAGATAAATTATGGCAGGAAATCTAATTGATATGGAGATTTTATTTCATCCAATGAGGAGAATCACAAATAATAAATATTTTTTTAAAAAAATAAAATAAAAATAAAGATAGGATTGTTAGTTTTAAGGACATAAATGAGCTATAAGGTTAATGGAAGGATATTTTTAAGTCAAAAAATAGGTAGAAGGATAGATTTAGACCAAAAGATGGATGGAGGATATTTTTGAACCTTTTTCTATAGTTTTTAGCTATTGTTGACCTTTTTTCGCTGAAAAAATATAATAATTTCAGTTTAAATTCTTTTTCCAAGTAAATTCAGTCAAATTAAATTATGTAAATCCACTATTAAATAAACATTTTTAAAAAAAAATTCCACGGTGAGTAAATTTATCATTTAGTGTCTTTATTCAATGAATTCTATCACAAAATGAATTATATGACTTGAGCTTTTAATGTTCCTTTCCATTTATTTTTCTAATCACCTTTTCTACACTATATATATCTCAATAGGGGTTGCAATGTTTTCTACAAATCAAATTAGAGTTTCTCTTCATTATTAGTCACTAATACTCTCTAATTAAGATATGGCAATGAGCAAATCTTCATTTTCTTTGTTCTCTTTGGTGTTTGTGATTCTCCTCTCAATTGGTATATCTCTCTCTTACAATACATATACATTCGCTGTTGATGCTTCGTACATCGAATTGTCCTTATTCTAACGTGATTTATGAATTTTAACTCGATTCTTTTTGTATGTTTTATAGGTTTGCATCGTGTTGATGCTTTTGGACCACCATGTAAGACTAATCAAGATTGTGTACTTTACTGCAGTGTCCCCATTCAGAGAGGCACCGGAATATGCTTGGGTGGATATTGCACATGTGAAAAACAAGAATCTATCAACAATGCTAGAAAAATTTTACATGACTAGAAATAGGGATAGATGAAAAAAAAAATGTTTTTTTGTACTTTGATCTATGATTTTAATAAAATGTGACAAAAATTCGATTTTATGTTTGGAGGAATGAAAATCAATAATTCATTAAAGTTAATTATCCATTACCTTTTTATTTATTTATTTTCATTAAAAATATAAGCAAAACTTAATCTTTTTTCTGTTTTCATTTGATGTTCGTGTATTAGAGCTTAATTGTATCTAAATTTATATTAAAAAATTTGTATTTGAAGGTAAATATTTCGTACCAAAGGCAATTTCAATATATTATAGGGCTTGAATACTAAATCTCTAATTAAGGATGAAATAATTTTTCGTCCCTCGCTATTCTCGTTGATAAAGCAGAACTAACTTCTCTGGTACCACTAGCATAGCTATTCAAAAATAATGAATTGGATGATGTTTTACTTTACTTTGTTATATTCATTACATAAAATGATTCAAAATACTCATTGTATCGCAATGTAGATAAACAAAAAATTATATTACGTGAGATAGTCAATCCTCCTTTTTTTTTCTCTATAGTTTTACCCTTACTCTACTTATTGTGTGAATGAACAAAGTAATAAAATGATATTAAAAAAATAATAATGGTGATTTAATAAAAATATTTTTTACATTAATATCTGGAATATGCAAAAATTAATCTGACAAGTGACAAGTAGATAAGAACGGAAGGTACAAATTACTAATGGTGACTATCTATGGAGTAATATATTTTGTTGTTCCAAAATTAACTTTTAAATGATGGGTGTTTGGTAGGAACGAAAATGGTTTCTTTCAAAAATAAGTAGAGTTTTGACTTATTTTTTCATGTTGGGTGGTAAGTAAAAAATATTTTTTAGAAAATTTTTTAGCGTTTGATTAATTTGAATGAAAAATGTTTTTGAAAAATATCTTTCATTTTTATTAGAGGAGAAATTCTTTTTTTGAAATTGAAAATATTTTTTTAAAAAAAAATTAAATTTTTTTTGGTGAGGGGGTGGGGTAGGGGTTGGGGGGGAGATCTGGCAGAAGGGGAGGGCAAGGGAAGGGGTGAAATTTTTAAGTTAAAAATAATTTATTTTTTTTAAAAAAAAAAAAAAACTTAGAATGGAGACCGGATGTACGGGTGAAAAAAATGAAATTTTGAAATTTAAAATAATTTTTAAAAATAAATTATTTTTTTAGGGGCCGGTGGAATTGGGTGAAGAGTAGGGGTGAAAAACAAATTGAAATAGAATATTTTTTAATTTTTTTTTTTTTGATGGGGATGAGGGGTGGGGTAAAATAAAAATAAAATAAGTTTAAAATGAAGAAATAAATAAAAATAATGGTCCCACGTGATCAGAAAATTTCATTCACATATTTTAAATAATTCACTAATCGGTCATTTAAAAAAAAAAGTCTAGCAAGCACTTGCTATTGCACTTAAAAAAAATTAGAATTTGTGTTTAGACTTTTTTCCAAGTAAATATGGTCAAATTAAATTTTGTAAAACCACTATTAAAGAAATATTTATTAAATAATTTCCCGCTATAAGTTTATGAAATTTATTCTATAGTGTCTTTAAGTTCTATGACAAAATTAACTACATGCTTTAAGCTTTGAATTTTTCTTCCCTTTTTTGGGTTAATTAATCCACACAAAATTCACCTTTAATTAACTTATTTTTAATGATTTGACTAATTGTAGAGATTACACTATATATATCTCAATAGGGGTGGCAATATTTTTGTACAAATCAAATTAGAATTTCTCTTTGTAATTAATCACTAATACACTCTAGTTAAGACATGGCTATGAGCAAAGCATCACATACTTTGTTCACCTTAATGTTTGTGATTTTTTCTCAATTGATATATATATATTTGTAAATAATTCCAAGTTCTTAACAAGAGTTTTAAGTGAAGAAAAAATTGTTTCGCCCATGTTTGATTAGTCAAAGGATGTGTTAATTGGTAGGAAGACTTTTCACAAGTTTTCATAATAAAAAATAAAAAAATTAAATTTTCGTGACACTCTAAATTTATTATTTTCTCCTCTCCTCTCCCCTCCCCTCCAATAAATTTAATAGATTAGGTATAGAAACTCTTGAGATAAACAATTTATGGCTTGTTTTATATTTTCAAGAAAACAGGGGGAAAAAAAATTCCTTTGTACCAAAGTCACCCTAAATAGTAGCACCTCATAAAATGAGTATTATTTTAAATTAAGATCTGGAATACCTTCTCCTTAACACACAAATAACTTATGAAAACATGAGGTGCTGATATTAGGAAACTCAAAAGAGAAAGTGACCAAACAATCAAAATTCATATTAGTGAAACCATCTTCTAATGACATTTATATTGCAATTTCTAACACAGAACAAAGGTGAAGAGGGAAGCTTTCACACCTTGAAATCCTTTTGGATTAGCAGAAAACCTATAATCCATAGCCCAAGGACTCTTGTCAATGCCAAACAGAACAACCTCTCCTCTTTGGAACCTCTCTCAGGCTAGTAGTATTGCAAGACATTAATCAACTTTACAATAGCCTGCTTAGCGATTTGATAAGCATTTTCAAATTGCGCCTAGTAGCTTCATCGCCAGTGAATCCCAAAATGTCGGAGCTAATGCTCTGCATAATGTGACAAATGATGAATCACAAAGCATGAAAGTGATTGACGTGTTAGAATGACTATTACCACGCGGGAAATTACCTCAACATTCTTCAAAGTGAAGACCAGCGTATAAATAGACTTCCGTATCAATTCGGTGTTCTCAGGAGTCATGACCGTGGAGTGCACTCTCCTGCAATTTGGTTCATAAAACACTGTAAAAGCAGATTCCATGCCTAAAGCAAACAGTAACAGAAGCAACCTCAAAGTAGATGCATAACTTGGGGATCACCTAGAAGAGTTACTATCTTTTGAACTCCACTTTTGATATCAATAAAAGGAACTCACTGTTGCGACCAGGAAATTAGAAATGTTTAGCCCTTTTCACATCATGTATACTCAACCAAGAAAGCATCCAAAGTTGTGTCCTAGTGGAGAATGGCCTATGACGTGGGTAAAAGCATGAGTTCAATATGTGGCTATCTAGAATTCTTGATAATGTACAAAAGCATGCCATGTTTGTGAAGCCTTTTTCATTGAACTTGCTATCTGCTTATTTGAACTTCTTACATAACTGGTCTCACTCCAAATATATAGCTCACAAGTGAGCAGCATGAGCAAAACTTAATTTGTATCACCCAGTTCTATTCTCAGTCAAACTAACAAGTACCAAGTATATCTTATAAAGGTCTAGGACTACTTCACCCTTGCCTTAGAAAAGAAGCTACCATAAGTTACTGATTTACCTTATATCTTCAGATGTTAGTGCCAGACTTCGGGTTAAACTCTCAACTTCCTTCAGTAAGCCACTATCACGAACATCAGCTAGCATAGGTTGGACATCCTCAGCCATGGCTTTAATCTGAGGTGTCACTACATCAAAGGTACAATGTTCATACATGAGAATATACTAAATACCTGCAAGGAACACATAAATTGCTCAAGTAGCATAATAGGATGAGTGCAACTGTATGCCCAACATTGACCGCTGTTTCAGTTCTCCCCTCCTCCTCTATAAATGGTCCTATAGCTTGATACTGATGAATGTGGTATAGGAAAACACATATTGCAGCCGTACTTACAACTCACAGTTTTACACTTACCACCTAACATCTGACAAACTAACAATAGTTGTGCACTTGCTTTGGACATATTATTTAGAATATGCACTACATGACATATTAGTGTACTGAATGAACATCAATAAGTCCAAACTGGATTAGACTAATTTTGTCAACAAGAGAACATTTTTCTGTAAATAGAAATGGTTGCATGAGGCACGAGATGTTAGTGTCTGACAGAATTCTCAAACAGATACACATACTAGAGATAATAATAGTCAAGCAGACTTATAAAATTAATCTTGTATTATTAAGCACTTGATTAATAGTTTTACTGCATTCAAAACAAGATATTCTAACTCAAATTAGTTTTGCATGCACATGTGACAAAAAAATCCTTCATAAAAAGAATTGCAAAGCAATCAAGCAGATCTTGTCTGACAATTCATTCACATATCTCCTCTGCAGATCATAACTTGGGGTATAATATACTGTGGGCTTTCCCAAGCTAATGACCTCAGTAATCACTTTCTGCACTTCCAGAAACATATTAACTTAACCAGGGTCTTTTAACTAAGAGTTCTCCAAATTTAAGTGTTATCCAACTTACAAATTTCATTACAGTGAAATATCTACACCAATGCTCTTTACACAGATGCTGTCAAAGAGGATTGAAGTCCATAAGATTCTAGTACAACTCATACATCACGCATTACACTTTTATAGGGTGTAGACGTGTAGAACATAGTGAGTTGGTGGAAAGAACTAAGTAGAGATGTGTGATTTAACCTAAGCTTAGAATATCAGTGTTTTTAAAAATGTTTCCATACATGACTCTAGGTCTTTAAAGAAAAAAATACAGAACAAATTTTTTATCATAAAGATGTTATGAATCATAAATAGAGAAGAACAGAATTTCAACAAGTTATATCATTGCATAACCATATCTTAAGCTAAAAGTACAGAAGTTAAATTCATCTGTTTGTTAGACTTCCTTCTTCTTTTATCCTTAATATTAAACATCATCCATACAAAAAGAATGAAATGGGAGGTGAATAAATGTAAAGTGCATCAAACCTTTGTAAGCAGATTAAACATCATCCATACAAAAAGAATGAAATGGGAGGTGAATAAATGTAAAGTGCATCAAACCTTTGTAAGCAGCGGTCGCGCCTCCTCAATAACATTTAGAGCTCTCTCAGCCAAAGCATAGGTATTCGCCAAACCAATTTCTTCTGCTTCACGGCCAAGACGTGTGAATATTCCAACCAATGCATCTAGACTAACCCCTTGTTGTCCTTTAATCTTTTGCCTGTCGCAAATTATCAGACCCTCCTTAACACAATCCGGATCCAGGGGCCCTGCAGAAGGTATTGGGATTGGATCTCGAGGTGTGATATCAATCATGGTTTCCATGATAAGACCAGACTGGTTCACCTCAACTAACGAGTTTCGAGGAATAATGATCTTATCATCTTCAACCTATAAACACATAATCAATGTTTAAGATCAAAACATACACAAGCAACTATAGAACAACTACTTATTACTTCAAAAGAAATATATATAATTCAGTAAATGTGTTCAGCAAAGATACATGTCGCTCACCTCAACAACAGCTTCAACATTTCTCAAGGAAGGATTGACTCGAATCACATTACCAATACTTACTCCTCTGATTCTAACAGGTGTGCCAGTGCAGATGCCACAAGCCTGCTCAAACTCAAGCACAGCTAAATACTTCCTAAACCTAGACCGCAGCTGAAACCCTCTCAACCAAGCTAAGCTGAGTGCCAACAACACAGTACCCGAAACGATAAACAACCCAACCCCACCTTCCCAGATGCTCCTTTTACCAAACCCAAAATCACTCAATGGACGCATAGTTCGCTTCCAAATATTCCTGGGAACATCTAAAATAACAGAAAGTGGACCTTTCTGGTCGGAAGATGACTCGGGTTGTTGCTCTTGTTCTTGACTATGACCCGTATTTGCAGACATTGCTTTCACACTAAAGGTTCGATTTTTAGGCCTGATTGGTGATTTTATACACAGAAAACGATCACCCAACACATTTCTTCTACTGGGTATGATGGGGAAAACAGTAGAATTTGTTGATACATGGACTAAAGCATTTCCAGACATCATCTAGTTTTCTTTTCTTGTCTTTCCAAAATTATACACTTTTTCTTGTTCTATAGATAAAAATTGAGCTGGAGAAATTGAAAATCGAGATTGAAGATCAACAAAATGGAAGCATATAGGAAGGTTCAAGCTGGAAGCAACCCTAGCGCAGATCAACCACTGACTGAATCTGTTGAACTCTCATCACTGAGAGGAGAGCGGATAGAAAATGGGCTAGGCTGGGCTGATAAAGTGAAAATGGGCTAAACCAGATCTTATAGGCCCATGTGAGACAGATTAGACGTTTTGGGCCTTTATAGCATAAGAAAAAGGATAACTTACCGAAATCCTACTAGTTCATGGGCTAATTATTTAGATAAATCATAGTTTACAAAATTATGAATCTTATCAAATTTTTTCATGTGCTTAGATACATGTATATTGATATAAAATTAGTCAAATTTGAATGTAATCTGTTCTAAATACATTGTATACGAGTGTACATCGCATGTATATGGATACATATGCAACTCTATTTCACCTCCTCATATCTCACTCGCATATTTGATATTCGAGATACATGTGATCACGCCAGATACATCTATTGTGATTTGCATATGTCTTAAATACATAGATAAATCTCATTTGCCTCCCTTTTGTTCTCACTCGTCTCTCTCTCTCTCTCTCTCTATTTTAGTATATTTAGTAGAAAAAAACATGTACTTAAATGTATATGACTTGAAATCTAATATGAAATAATTAATTAGTCATGTAAAATATTAACTACAGAAGAATTAGTAATTATGATAAGAATATTCGTATAATTAAGTTCTTTTTTCCTATGAAAAATCGGTCATTCTGTAAAATTTCACTAAGTATGCTATTTTGATCTCGTCATTTAGATAATACCGATTAAATATCTATATTATTCAATCTTCAGGTGAAATAAATGAAAATAGAGAGATATTGTTTATCCCTCAACGTAAAAGCAAATTAATTACTGTCGTATATCGACTTACAAGTTACACAATTATGTTCTCTAAATAATTACAGAAAATGCCCTTTAAAAAAAATAATCAACACTCCTAAGTATTTATATGAGCAACTTTCACATATAGAAAACTTACAAAACATATTTGTATGTTATAACTATAGTTTGTATATTGCGTTTTATAACAAACTTAATGTTTGCTTTGGAGCATCAAGTTGTATAACTCGTTGGTAGGATCTTCAGATTTGTATAATTTCTGCTGCCATTTGTATGAATCACTGACAACCTCTCAATTCAAATTTATGTGTTTGTACATTTGCATAAAATTTAAATTGTATACATTTGAATCGAAATAAAACATTTATATAACAAATGTTTTTCTCTCTCGCTTTATACAACACAAATTATATATTGTAATTTGTATAATATATGTTTGTATAAAACGGAAAAAAGAAAATGACAACCTACGTGGGAAGATCTGCATTTGTATAGCTTTAAATGTATATAGAACGGAAATATTTGTTTACACAATTTTCTATCGCTTTATACAAATACAAATATATTTTATACATTGATATGTTTGTATAAAAACAAAAAAGGCAAGAGAGAAACTGGAGATCGAAAAACCTAGAGAGAAGCAGTGTAATTATAATATTTAATTTAAATTAATAATTTACTTTCCGCGGTTATAATCTAATACTAGTATTCACTAAATCGCCTTCGCACTGACCCAATATATTTGCGTACAAAGTGCAAATAAAGAATTGTTTTGGGTGAAAACGTAATTAAAGCATTATAATTTCTAGTGTTTGGGCTTTTATAACCTGCGCCGTTGTTGCCTCCTTTAAACCCTAAACAAAAATCTGCATACAGAGCAACGGGAGGAAGAAAAAACAGAGATACCTACAAATGGCGAAATCAATGAGATCAAAGAGGGAAAAGAGGCTGAGAGCTATAAGGAGGGATATAGTTGCTACAGAACCATCTGTTCTTAAGAAAGAAGCTGCTAAATTGGCTGCCCAAGAAGCTGCCCTTGCTGCTCCTAAGCTTATTGTTAAGTCTCCCTTCAGCCGCACCACCATGGATACTTCTGCCTCTACTTCTAACGACGAATCTAAAATGGGTATGCTTCTATTTATTTTTCCCATCGATTCACTTTTACTTGATTTGGAATAAATTTGATATCAAATTTGCTAAAAGACCAAAATTTTGTTGCTTTGGCTGCTTCTAGTTTGAATTTCTTTTTTTATGGTTTCAAATTTATCTTCTGCTGTTACCATTTATATTCTTGTGTGTTTGTTTTTGGAGTATGATATTTTGACAGGATGGAGTGGTGTGAGAAAGGTGGAAAACAGAAAAAATAAAAATTTATAGAGAAGATGTAAGAATGAAGAACGTATCTGGGTATTGCTATGGGAGCTTCATATTTCTTTGAAGATATTATCTTTGGAGATATCATGAATATGGCTATAGTAGATTCATATTTATGTGAAGTTTGACGAGATATCATGAAGTGTTGGCAAGTTCCTTACTACAGTTTTTAGACCATCAATGTCACATGAGAGTGAAGCTAAGGTTCTTTAGGTCCTAAATTGTTGCCAAACAAGCAACATGCATAGTTGAGGAGTGCACGAGTTGGCCTAAGCACCGCCATTATAAAAAAAATTGAAGCAGACTGAATAATGCATACAGGCAATCTAACTAATCAGGATTGAACCGTTTTTGTCAACTTTTGAAAGCTGATATTATGATGCATAAAATAACTCTTCATCTTTTCTTACTTTTTTGTTAGTGAATTTTGCTAGTTCTTAAGATACTCCAGATGAGGCTTAATTTAAGAGATTGAGATTAATGATTTAGCCAGTTAACGCTGATAATAGATTAACGGTCAGTTATCAGCATCAACCACTTTGTCTCAGTGTGTATATCCAGTGATTCCAGTAGTGATATGAAAGGAGGAATTATATGAATTATCTGAAACATATTGCCACGAAAGGAAGATATCTCGTTACTAGAGTTCATTGAATACATTAGTTTCATAAGTTTAGCTTGTACATCATCAGTGTGCACAATCAAGACACAACTCCATATCATGCCTTTTTCTTTTGGAACCCAGAAACAGCCCCCAACAACTAGCGTCCTAATATTATAAGTTCCTATTTAAATTTTATGGAAAGATTAATACATGTGAGTAAGATTTAACTGCTCATTCTACTCCAGTGTCCTGTATCTGCTATTGCTGCTGAAACTTGTGCACCTGATTTTTAGCCTCCCCTCAGTATGTTATCTTGTCATTGTTTTGATTTCCAGATGTGGAGATGGCTGATGGCAATCAAAGTTCAAAATCTCTAAAACCTCTTGGAAAGAAGATGAAAAAGAAGCTTAAAATAGCTAAGAAGAAGAATCATGGCAAGGGAAAGATCAGGAGGAAGAATGTTTGACTGCAGGCGGTAGCCATCTTGCTAAGCTGATAGATGTCTTGTTACTTACTGTTGACAAGTCCCTCCCATATTCTCTCCTTGATTCATGATCTTACATTGTAGTAGAGTATCTTGGAACTTGAGCATGTGAGTGGGTATGCTCATATAGATTGTGTTCATGGGCTGTCAAAATGAAGCCTCAAGTTCTTAAATTTGTTTACAAAATAGATGGCGTTTTTCATTTTCCTTTTACAGTTTGTTGGAACATGCTAAACTTGAAAGGAAATATGAACATGTAGACTGTAATCCAACAATGTTAAAGATGTTTTAGTTTTCTGATTAGGAGACATCACCCTTCTTTTGCTTTTTGGCTCATTCCAATTGTTTGGATGTTCATGTTTTTGAGCAAACCTTAATGCTGCAACAACTAAGTATAACAAAAAAAATAAAAATCAGTCAGCACAGCCATTGCATCCAGGATAGTAGTACCACAGGCACAGAGCATATGAAACCCAATAAATCAAACAGGAGATAAGCACATACTTCTTTTTGGAACAGGAGACCCTTGACCATTACACCCTCAAACAAATGATATGCATATTTAACAACACCAAATGATCAAATAATCCATCACACTGAATTGCAAAGCGTTCATCTACCCTTAGGGTATTTATTCCTTTACATTTTGACATACCAATTTTTTATTTTATTTCTTTCACTTTGTCACTATTGATGTAGGATATCTAACACCTCCCGCACATCCCTTCGTGACAATTGGACTGTTAAACATTATCATATGAAAACACCGGATAGAACAAAGTGGGATGCACCTAGCTTTAATACTATGGTAAAAAAATGAATTTTGAATTTAACTCAATCTCAAAAGCTTATCAAAAGTCGCCTACTAAATCAAATAACTCTATCACCAATTAACTCACTACCAGTTACATTTCTACTTTTTGCTTGCACAATGTTCTCTAGTTTTGCCCTGAAATTTTGATGTTCAGTGTAAAAAAACGCATATGCAGTATCAGAAAATTTATTTCCTTCATAAGCTTACCAGTAAAGAATTCTAGTACCTCTACGAACAGAACGGCAGTAGTTCAACTTAAATATGGGAAACAATGTTGATAACATGAATGCGACAGTAAATGGTGCAGTGAAAGATACAGATGGTGCAAATACTACTAAGCTACGTAGCTTTAGAAGATGATGCCTTTGACACTGAAATCTGATGAATTTCACGTAAATGAAAAGTGTATTCGTTGAACACAAGTTCACCACGGTAGGCAGCTAGCAGTTGAGGAACTTGTGCTTCATATTTAGTAACACACTTCCGTAAGAAGTCCTTTTCACTAATCATTAGAATTGAGGATAGTTTGTTAACTTTTGAAATAACGCCTGTTGACCACAAAACTTGCATGACAGAACACCTGGGAATAACCCTCTTCTTCAGGCTACGCAATAGAAAGGATGGTCTTTGTGACAAGTGTGATAGGCTCAAATGGAGTTTATTAACATAGAATGCCACAATTGCCCTGATATTATCCTCAGAATAAAACATGCAAGTTGGCTGCAATCTGAATATATTGCGGATCTCGCCATCTGAAAAGCCCATACTTCGGTAGTTTTCCAGTTTCTTTTCCATTTTGGAATCACTAAGTACAGACATTGCGGTAAAAGCTGCCCTAAATGCTGAAGAAGTAACATCAAACCCCAATTCCTTAAGTCTCAAGCCAACCTTACTCATCTTTTTGGGATTTATAGTCAAGATAATGGGAACTTTTGAAATAAACTCTGAAGCTTCAGAATCAGGAATACCAAGTTGGTGCAATACCTGTAGAGTCTGCTCCAAACCATCAGAGAATTTATAATTAAAGATCTGCGGACTTCGTTTGATGGCAGCCATTGCTTGCATTTCACTACCCATGAACATCTTTAGGGAATCAAAGCATGGAGTCAGTTGTTTCTCTACGCTACTCATGAGTATGTTGGGGTTACCACAGATAATCTTATTGCGTTCATCTTCAGTAAAGCCAATTGATTGCAAGAACTTCAACTTGGGCTTTAGGGTTTTGTCCACCTTCGATACTAGTAATTTAGGGCGTAGTCTAATTAGTCTCTTCGTTTGGGTTGCAGAAAACCCATGGTTTTGGAAGAACTCAACAAAAGCTGAAACTTTTGAACATTGAGCAGTATCTAATTGGAGTGGTTCTGCTTCACTAATGACGTTTTCTTTTGATAAACCATGTGTCTTTCTGTGATACAAATCAACGAGTGTGCTCTCATCAGTTGGGATGTTGCTGCCACAGCTAGTTGACACAAACTGCACGAGAAGGCTGGTTGTCCTGATCTTTGTACACAAGTTTCTTTGACATTTATAGAGAGATTGAAGCATTTTAAAAAAAGGGAGCCCTACGAAAGAGATGTGTCAATGCCAAGATCATGCCTCAAGGGACACAAATTATAAGCCTGCTAAAGCAAACAAAAACTTGTTAGCTAAATAGCTCTGTTCGCCAAAAAAGAGTGCCTGTTAGTGAAAGAAGAGGACAATGAAATTCAACATTGGTGTAATTATATAAATCCTCCAAGTTCAGGAAAAGTCAACATTCCCCAAAATTTTGTCATATTGCCAGATAAACTCCTCAATCTCTAGACCCATTAGAAGAACTATTATGACAATGGACCAGCCACGAGCAGTTTGATAAGCTGACTGTTTGAGTTAAAGAAAATATTTGAGTCTGGTGCGTTAACTGTTACCAAATAAAAATAGCTCAGTCCAGCATTTAGGTTTTCTTACTTTCAATCTCTATGTGAAATCAGTTTTTCAAACTCAAGTTATTAAATCCAACTTGAACAAAAGACGACAAAGGATTAAATGATCTAGTGTCAAATGCCTATTCCAACCACTCCCAAAAAGATTCAGAACAGTATGACAAGACAGATTAATTAATTAAAACTGAAGCAAAAAAATGAGTTTCCTTTGGTTGTTTTTTTATTAAATTGCTGTATATTTGCAGATACTTCAGACTGTTATTGCCGGTTTACCAACAGGGAAAAATTGAATTCCTCTATCACAGGAAAGCTAAGGAAATTGTGGAAGATAATGCTTGAGTGAGCAGAAATAGTAATAAAGTCTCTGTTGGTAACAATGAAAGAGTGAGATGAAAGAGCAGTGAGTCATAAGTATAAACAGAAAAAGTAGTGCCATCTAAACAATGGGAAAGTCAAATTGTGGATGAAGCAGGCAATAATAAGAAAGAGTAAAGCAAGAGGCTATGCAGATGATGACTGTTGGTCGCTCCATGACAGACCAAGAGAGCAAGAGGAAGAGGACCATGAACACTGTGACAGAGAGGAAAATATAATCCTCTGTTTCAATTAATTTGTCTTACTTCCCTTTAAGTATGTTTTAAAAAGAATTCCACTTTCTATAATTAGTTTCCATATCCCAGACAACATTCAAAGGACATTTTGGTATATTATACACATCTTCATTAGGCCCACGAGATTCAAATTCTGATGTTCAAACCTTGATGGACGGAGTTACCTGGTATTTGTGTTGGTGGGAGGTAGCAATTACCCCAAGGAATTAGTCGTGGTGCACGCAAGTTGAACCAGACACTACAGTTATTTAGAAACAGTTTTACTTTAATTTTTCTATTTTACCCTTATTAAGTTGATTCATAGTCATACAAAGTTAATTGCTTGTTTTAGATCATAAGTTTCAGAAGTCTTACTTAAATTCTTAAACATGGTGCTAGTCAAATGCCACCTACTAAATATAGAAAGTGGCATTCTGTTTTAGACGAACTGAAAAGGAAAGTGAAACACACAAATTGATACAGAATAAGTACTGATTTATCACTATTATAAAAATATAGCTATCTGAGTTTGACTTTGAAAAGGACTTGGCCAGCCTCCTAGTTGAGACACTAGGTAAGGTCAACAACATGGACATCAAATCTTGAGATCCAAGTCATAGTCAAATCCAAACTCAACACTAGTTGAGCATCAATGAGGACATTTTCTGCTAATTTTCATACGATGCATTCCTTATTAGTGGTTTTAGGGTGAGAAATTCACCTTTTACGATTTTATCTTTTGGCACTTATTATTTACTGTTTGGTGCCTCTTCATATTTTTATTGATGAAGATCACATCTTAAGCCCCCACTTTTTAGTACAGACCTTGAGCTCATTTGGTTTGTCTAGCTTAATTATATTTAGAGGATTGAACAAACTCATTGATAAAGCCCAAGATCTTCAAGTCCCTACCTCTCCCTCGTTCTCTTTTTAGAGTAGATTCTCCGCTGATAACTCCTGTTGTGTTCGTATATGGTATTCTTACTTCTTCTTTTTTTCAAATAAGTGGTGTTCATATATGATATTCTAGTCAACCACAACATCTATTCTTTCCCCTTCTATTTCCAATCAATTATGTACTTATACATCACATTTATCAATTCAATACACTTAGAAGAACTATCCTCAAAATGCATTCACCTCACAACTTCAGGCATAACTTCCTTGTGCTTTTGTTTTTTCATAACATTGCTGCAAATTTAAGTCCCCAATCAAGATCATTTTCACACGTTCTGAACCAAAGAAGAAAACATATAAGGGGGAGTGCTAGTCTACTGCATGCTTCCTCAGAATAATAAACAATTGTTTCCATTGTGAATCTTCTTTCCACTATAATCTCACTCATAACAATATTCTCCACCTTAGAAGTGTTGTAGCTCTTCATGACTTGAACTCACTGCTTGTAGGATTTAACTCAAGTCAACAACACACTTGAAGGGTGGTGGTGAACCATCATAATATCAAAAGTGAGCAGTTGATAATTAGTTCACTAGCTGAGCTAAGTCCTCTGGTAGGAAAGTAATTGTAATCTATACAACTTCTAGCATGCTGCCTCAATCGAATAAGGACCTTATTTTCTCTAGCCTTCCACCCAAAATGCTAGTCAGATTCATAAAACTTATAAGCCTCAAATCTATCACCCAAAAAAGTAACATGCTTACCTAACTTCTCAGTCGCAGTGACAACAGTATACTATGCAACAAACATCTTTATTGAGCTTATCATCCAACTATAACATGCATTACTTCTATGCAATCCAACAACAGAAATCTTTCTAAAACACTATAGTTTTGACCCCTTCCGTAGGCTTAACAATTGTCATGTTGTGAAGCAATACTTCCTATTACTACTAACATACAAGTATAAGTTAAACATTAAAATAATTCCATTTTCCGACACCAACTACATTCCACGCGACTCATTGGATGATCTGAAAACATCTTCTCCTAGAATATTAGTTCCAAACATTTGTGTTGCCCCCTCTTCTAGGTTCTTGAGAACCGTATTACCACTAAGCAAATAGGCTGAGCTGTGCAACACATTTCCAATTCACCTTCTTCAAAATCATTCCCTACTCATTTCATTCGAGATCAATCAATCAATGTAGGATTCTAACAAAGAGTTCGTGTCGTTCACTTCAAAAAGAATCAATCTTGGTTAAAAATATTATTTTTTTCTACAAGTATGAAACTTAGTAGAATAAGTAGGCTCTTGGTTATCCTTCTTCCCTATTCTTTCGTTTAACTTGTAAGAAAAAACTAATGAACTACAGGCAATTTCTTTTTCTTCAGAATTACCAGAAGCCCCAAGTCACAAAGGAACAAAAACTTGAAGGGACTGAAGAACAGTAAAGGGGGTGCTCAGGTAAAGGAATTCGGATTAAATGAACAAATAAAAGAAAGAAACAAAGAAAACCCAGATAAATTATCAGATTCAAATTCAAGAACCAGAAAAGCACCAAATTATAGCACAAATTTCCTGCTGTTTCCTCAATTATATCAATCAATGTACACAAACTTGAACAGCGAATATCATTAGCAAATTTTAAAAAATAAAACATACATCAAAAATAGGAGGAGTCAAGATAACATACCTAACAATAGGAACAGCTCCAGTGAAAATGGCGAAGCAGTGAACAAGCACGATGCCTATTTTAGGAACAAGATCAAATATTCGAATTTAGTATTCAGGTCCCTTTGAATTTTAAAAAAATGCTATTATGACTCAAAGTTCAGATAAATGGCAAAGTGCATCTACTCCTCCAACTACCCCCACCAATTTGATCCATTTTTCTTTTTTATCTTCTTTCCATTTATTATGATAGTGCATTAGTGCATAATAATAATACTGATAGTAGGGATTAAAATGAAACTGAGATAAATTCTACAGAATAGCGTTAGACCAAATATGTTATATGAGATATGTTGATCATACTTATATTCATATAATAAATAATGTTGATCATACTTATATTCATATAATAAATATTATAGAAAGAAGAATGTTTAAATTGATATGTGGGATTACTTAAGTGACATGAATGGACGATGAGATGTGAAAAATGAGTTTGTGATTGTTCTAGCCCATGAAGAGGAGATGCACGAATGTTTCATTACTAAAGTGTGAGAAGTTGTCTATAGATGATTTTAAGAGAGCTCGATGTAGGTTGAAAAAGTACTGAAAACATATTATTTACATCAAATATGAGAAAACTCCAACTAAAAATGTGACCTTAAATATAGGGCTATTCTTACATAAATAATGATAAAAGACTAATAGACAGCTATTAATGTTTTAGTTATTTCTTTTTATATTTACAATCGTAACATTATTTTTGTAATTTTTGTCATCCTATTTCTTTTATGATGCTCTATTAGTAATTATATCATACAAACATTGTGAGATATCCCAAAGTGAATAGAGCACCACATTAGTTAGGATGTCTGGACTAAATTTTTGGACAATTTCCAAAATTTGATATATTATTTTAAAAAATGATATGGTGTTTATACTTTTTAATATTTTTCTTTGTACGAGTTAGCAATAAGGTATTTATACATTTTTTTCTTCAAACTTTATTTAATTAGATTTCACAAAATATGTTATTGTCTTTGTTTGATGTATAACCTGAGTTAAATTGCACACGTATTCGACTTGAAATCGTCATTTTAAGTTATGCATACGAGGCATAAATAAATAATCACAAATTTATCTATTTTGAAGCAATTTCACACATGTTGAACCTAAAGTTTTTACCTAATTAAAGTTCATTTTTTAAAATAAAATAAAATATTCAGTCATATTTGTTGTAAATTCTATGCAACATTGAACTTCAACCATATGAAAAGGTGTATTTGGAGATTATCACACTTTATTTCACATCTCCGAAATAATACACTTATCTTCTCAATAAATTTAAATTCACTTTTAATCATATATAATTTCAAATAACAATATTTTTAATTACTTCGTAGCAAGTAAATACATATTTTTTTTATTAATTAAATACAAATAAAATATTGTTAAGGAAAAATACAAGTTAACTAACAATAAACATACAAATTTATCTATTTTGAAGCAATTTCACACATGATAACTTGTTTAAACATAACAAAACTCAAATATATGATAATAAATAATGTAAGTTCCAGCAAAATTGAAAGTAAAACCTACCAAAAAACGAACAAAAAATAAAAAATAAAATTAGAAATTAAATCCAAATAAACTCTGCGATTTATATGATTATTGGCCCATTAAGAGGTTTCCCATCAGGCCCATATTTCAACCTAGCCCATCAAAATAACTCCAACCCTACACCCTTTTCTTATATATGCTTCTCACTTCTCATTGAACCTCCTTTCATCGTCGTCCCCAAAACCCTAGCCGCAGTCACTTCCATAGGAGCTTAGAAGCCAATTCATTCTCGAAGCCATGGTAATTTCTATCTTTAAATCTGTAACCGATACGCTTCTATTTTCATTGTTCCTTGTATCTAACAGTTTGTTGATATGTTTTCTTTTTCTTCTGGTTGATAGGCGGAAGTTGAAGCTGATGTTGCGACCGGACAGCCAAGGAAGAGAACATTCAAGAAGTTCAGCTACAGAGGAGTAGATCTGGATTCTCTTCTTGACATGTCTACTGATGAGCTTGTTAAGCTTTACCCTGCTCGTCCTCGCAGAAGGTATTTAACTCTTTTTGCAAATGTATGCTGTTAAATTGCTATTCATTTGCTTTGTATGGATATGTGCTAGTGTAGAATTTTAATATCACGAGCTTATTCAACGTAATCTGTGCATGATTTTAAGTAAACATTGTCATTGTTGCTGTGTTATTGAAGAACATGTAACTAGGGCAAAAAATAGATATTGTAATTGATACTGTTAGATTCCCAAAAAGTAGCGTTCTTAGTAAAGTTTTTGTTGTTAAATTTTGAAGCAGGTAATGATTTTAAATACAGTTGTAAAATGCAGTCAAAGAATAGACATCTTTACCCTCGAAATTGTTTTACTGTGAAACAAAAGGGATATTAAGACCTAAAGTATATGAACTCTCAGACTCTTATGGATTTAGTGGATGTACCATATATATTTTTTTATTTACATGCTCATTTTTAATATGCAGTCAATTCCTTTTTCCGTGAAAAAGGACTCATCTTGAATGTTAATTGTGTTAGGTTCCAGAGGGGTTTGAAGAGGAAGCCTATGGCTTTGATCAAGAAGCTGCGCAAGGCGGTAAGATTACTAACCTCCTTTTAGCTTCTCTTTTAAAAATAAATGGTTTATTTGGTGTTAAATATCAGCCATTTTATGGTAGAGAAACTTGAAATAGATATGTTAGGGGTTGTGGAATGATTACATGTCTTTGCTTTTTGTAGCCTCAGTTATATCCAGCACACCTTGCATTTGTCTATTAATTTAGTGAGAACTCTATTAGTGTAACTGCAATGCTATAGTGAATTTAGATCATGAGTCAAAAGACTGCTGCGATGTGAAGCTGCATTTTTAGTACATCTGAATGCTTTTTCTCGAAGTTAGTGAATGCAACCATTTACTGAGCATGGACAATCTAGTTTACCTGTATCTTTGTTGATTATCCATGATCACCTATTGTTCTTTCTAGTTGCAGAATTGTATATTATTTCAACCCCCAGATTTTTGCATGTTCGACAAAGTCATATTAGGTGAAGCTGAAATTCGTTTGATATACAAAAAGAAACAATATAAGTATAATGAATCTTTTAGATGTGTTTCTGGGTTCTTAGTCTTAAACGACTTAGAGATGTTTAGAATTAGGCGCCTAAGGCCGAGCGCTTCCCTCGTTAATTAAGAGGTGGCGTGGTATTCCACAGAGTGAGGTTTTTATTTGTGGCGCACTAAGTGCGTAGGCGCACAATAATGTTTTGGGGTCTCCATGGCTGCTTTGGGTGCATCAACCTGCTTCCAAGGTGTCGGGATTGCCCTATATTTTCAATCTCCCAGTCGCTTTGTCTTTCTTCTGCCACTAGAATTTCTACTTGTTTTGTTACATTCTTTTGCTGGATTTATGTGGCAGTATTGTTTCTTTTCTTGTACATAATAGTCTATGTGAACTAGTTTATTGTGATGGTGAAATTTTACTACTATAGTTTTTTGGGAAGGAGGAAAGGCCTTCTGATGTTCAAATCATATAATCAGAATGCCACTTTCCTCATGCAACTACCTCTCCCTACAGAAATAAACAGGATTTAATGCTTGCACCCAGTGTTTCATGGTTTGCAAGTTTGGCTTCGCTGTAACATCGTAAACATCATTATATGTTTTATATTATTACCAATTTTTTGTATATGTATGTCTTTCCATTGATGTTTTTCATATTCAAACAGAAACGTGAGGCCCCACCTGGTGAGAAGCCAGAGGTTGTGAGAACACATTTGAGGAACATGATCATTGTTCCTGAGATGATTGGAAGTGTCATTGGAATCTACAATGGAAAAACTTTCAATCAAATTGAGGTCAAGCCTGAGATGATTAGTCACTACTTAGCTGAGTTCTCCATCTCATACAAGCCTGTCAAGCACGGTAGGCCCGGTATTGGTGCTACTCACTCTTCAAGGTTCATTCCATTGAAGTGATTCATCCAAATCTGTCTACATGGTTTCTAGTAATACTAGTACTTTTGTTTTACTGCAATTTTGATGAGAACAGTGGATACTGAATGGTTCTTTGTTTGAGACTAGTAATTTGCTGATACATTGCAACATTTCAATGATTGTGCTTCTATTTAGATTTTTGTACCTTTTTGTTTCTCTGAAATTGGTTACTTTGTGTCTGAATATTCTGTTCTGTTTAAAAACTACTAACCTTTTGTGTTAGCGAATTTAGTTTTAGAGGTAATTTGGGATAAAAACGTGTGTAAGGAAGTCTAGTTATATTTTAAGTAGTACAATATATTTGGTTTAGAGGTTAAAATCGTATATCAAACCCATAATTTTGAATGTCAACACTACTGGTATTTTGTCCCTTTGTGCGTAAAAGATAATTGAAATAACATCTCAAGCTCTTGTGAAATTCAAATATATTTTATATTTAATTATATGTTCAAGCTCTCTATTTTGATATAATTACTCTGGCTTTCTATGTGATAATTTACTCTTGCACTGCTGCTGGTAATCACATCGCCGACTAGTTTTGTGTAATTGTTGCTTCAGAAGCTACTTCCCCTGAAATTTTGGGTGCAAATCAACCAACATTTAGTGAAATTAGAAAATGCAATAAGGTGGTTCTTGCTCTTTGAGCTTCAAAAGTAAAACCAAACCAATTCCCCTTCCTCAATACAAAGAAAGTTTTGAACAGAAAACGAAACTCAACCATTGTTAAAAGACTCAATCATTGATTCATCTTAATCAGATATCCTTCTTGAAGGTGACTCCAGTTGATGGGAGCCATTTGTCTCCCTGAATCAATTGTGCAACTGAAAACTTGCTAGCTTCTTTACTAGTAATATTCAATCTCAATCCCTTCCAGTTGACTCTCTTCTTAGTCACAGCCCCAGCGCCAAAGTTTCTATATTCAGCATAGTAAATAGTGTCTGGTGCTGTAGTACCCACCCAGGGTAACCACCCTTTAGGATCAATAAAGCTATTCATTGTCGTATACATGAAAACGGTCGTGGAATAGTTCTTCCATGGCCTACCCAAGAAGGTACTGACTCCAGTAAGGTTAGCTGAGGGCCAAACAGTGCAATTGTGAATAGAAATGCCTGTGTTCTGATTAGGGTCGATTTTGCCTTGAGCTGTGATGGTGTTCTGTTGGCCTGGCATTGGTTTCTTGGGCAGTATGTTGCAATTCTGGAAAACAACTGCCGAGTTACCGAATATGAAGTCTACAGTGCCATAGATATTGCATTCTCTGTAGAATTGACGATTGGAGTGTGTGTAGAGTGTGTCTTGGTACGCGTCAAATTTGCAGCGGTAAAAAACAGAGAGATCAGCAGTTGACATTAGAGCCACTGCTTGATGCTTTGCTGCACCTGCTGTGTTGCGGAACCCCATGTCACGAGCGATAAATCCCTTGCCAAACACAGCTGCGTAGGAAGAAAAATGGAAGAACACAAATAAGTATTTTGCTGATGCATCTATTGCTTGTGCATGTTTGATGTAAAATAAGGCTTACCAAAAGTTGCAGTTTGAAAAGTGGGAGTGCCATCTATAAAGTTAAGAGAGCCAGAAACAATTGTTGCATCCATGCCATCACCAATCATCACAACATTCCATTTATTCTTCTCAACCCTAACATTCTCAACATAAACACCCTTCTTCACATATATCACAAACCTCTTATCACTCTTCTCAGGCACAACATCAAGAGCCTCAAAAATATTGGTAAAATGCCCAGTCCCATCATTAGCCACCACAACATCCACATTCAAAACTTCCCCTTTTGAAGATTGAAGCAGTTTCCTATCTTTTGAACTCATCCACCTAGGAAAATCTCCATCAAATTCCATCAAAAGACGACGTCTTCTTCCAATTCGACCTAAGGAATCGATGGAGTCCATTGAGTTCTGAAGTGATTCATCAATGTTATCAATAATAGCCAAGCTATTACTCGTATACTCCCCCGAATTCTTAAGGTTATGTTTAGCAATACTAGTTATATTTCCAAAACCATCGATACATGTTTGCTGGTAAGTTCCAGCTGCACTCAACGTTGTCTTGAGGTCAGTAAAAGCCTCGAGCAACGACTTGTTTGGTATAGAAAGTGAGTCATTCAAACTATCCAAAGAAAGTGATAGAAGATCATGACAACTTTCTAAGGCCTTAATAGTCATAGGATCGGAAATGTTCTTGAATTCTGACGAATTGAAGAACTTATCCGATGCTCTTGACAATTCATCGACAGAAACTTGTACCGATAACTTGTAAATATCTTCAACTTTAAGTTTGTTTGATGTGGCTAGAGGACCAAGGCTGTTGTAACATGATTGAGGATACAATGTTATGTCACAAACAGCCTTAATAGCTGCTGAAAAAGAAGTGGTTTGTGTGTTTGAATTTTCATTGTTTTTGTTAGTTGTTATTCCAACAATAGCTGCTACAACACAACCAACAAATACTATAGAGGATATTGTAATAATAGTGATCCTCTTGATTGATTTTTTTCTAGCAGCTACACTTTCTTGATTATTTACATTAAGATAATCCATCTTTTTTTATAAGTTCTTTTTTTTTTTTTGTCTTTGTTGGGAATAGGAAGGAAGGTGTTTATATAGGATTAGTTATTGTGATTTACGTGCAAGGCATAACAATTAGGGAATTAAGGTTATATATGGAGCAGAGGCTATTAAAACAATGGTGCTAGTCATTTTATTTTATTTTTGGTTATGGACCAGTTCAGTTCTGTGAATGTTTAGGGGGTGGGGGGTTTGTAATAATATGACTATATAACCAACAAGGGTTGTGGACTTGTGGTGGCTTCATTTATAATTAAGAGTCTTGGGTTTGAGTTTCCCCGAGTACAGAGTTGTCTTTATTAGGGAGCGTTTTATCCTGATGTGGAACTTTCTAGCGCGAATGGAGATTTAAGTCGGATTCTAATGTGAATATCGAACATTGAACGAGTAGTTAAAAAATAAAATAACATAGGACTATAAAGAAAGGAAGCAAGGGTGACTCGACAGTGTTAAAAAAAAAGACACGTGCCTTATGCCCCGAATTTAAGGGGCCTCATTTTTAATGATAATATGTTATAAGTTATTATTTTTTAACAAATATTGAATACTATTTGTAGAAAAAACAAACTTTTCATGAAAATAAAGGAATTATTTGAAGAAATTTGACATATTTGGAGTACTATATCTCATGAAAAATAATTTAAAATAAGACTTGTTATATTATCAATTGAAAATTAGAAGAAATTAATTTTATAAATGGTATTAATAATTCAAGTTTAAAGTCCCATTTAATTTTTACCTTAGGCCATTAATATGCTTGAGCTGCTCCTAAAAGCAAGGAGACTATTTGCTGGGGGAGGGAGGAAGGGAGGGGGTGTTTAACTGAAAATGGCTTTAAAAAGTGCAAGGGAAAGACTAAGCACATTAATTAGATTAAATTTACAAGCTGATCAAATTAATTTATATGTATTTATTTGATTCTTTTACTAGTTTAAGTGTACAACAATTATGTATAAGTGTTAGCCATGATCAAAACTTTTATATCTTGTGCAATCTTTGAAATATTGTTCCTAAAATATGCTCTTTAACATTTACTTATCTCTATATTCTATTTTAGGCATTTATCTTTCTTTTTTTTGTGTGTGTGGGTATGAAATTACTTTTACAATATATTTGTTTTTCGTGAATACCTCTAAAGATATATTTTCAAGTATTTTAAAAAATAATTATCAACATATTTATACCATCATATCAAACACTGATAATTATTTATTTTTAAAATTAAATATAGTACATAAAACTATTCTTCAATAATGGATGTTCGTCAGTTATTTTTAGTCAGCTAATTCAATTGGACTCTCAAGTATAAAAATTAAAATATTATGCAAGCCGAAAAAGAAAAGTTTAGGAAAATATAGTTAGTATATTTTCAATCGTATATTATAACAACTTAGTAGTAGAGATGACCGTGTTGCCGTGTTGTGGTTTGCCATAAATATTACTAATTAGCAACATATACTATTTCAATTACATCTTAAAATCTGACCTAATCCAACAATAGTTTATAGATTTAAACAATTTTACTTGTCACTTACGTGAGTTTCTTTAACATTTGTAATTTACGAGATTACTCTATTTTTTTAATATCTCTTATATATATTTCGGTTTAATTAATTAGGTTACGAATTAAGTTAAATTAGCTGCAGCCAAAGATAGTGCGATGGCACTTACACTATTTATCTGTTGCGTCGTATCCAACTACGAAGAATCTATAAAATTGGTTTTAATTAGTCCAACGATTTATATGGCTAAGCAAAGGAACACTACAACAAAGAAATTTAACGATATTTATATTCAGAGTTATTAAAGCTTTTAGCAACATTTATATAGTGCGCGCATTGATTATTATTATTATAAAATATAAAATAACGATAGTTATATTATTAACGATAAATAATTATTGTATTTTTTTAAAATTTTTTTTGTTGTAGCGGAAACAACACAAATAAGTCAAAAGAATGTTACTAAAATTTTTAGGTTGAAACAACAATATAATCTAGGTGCATCATGTAATTTACATAGACTTTTTGAAATTAGGGAAAGCTATAAAGTATTGTCGTCCATCAAATAATAGTCAGTAAATATATATTATATGAATAAAATACATTATTTTTTTTTAGGTAAAATAATATATATTTAACTAGTAAATGTACTTATTACGCGTTTGATTACTAGCATGAAAACTTTCAAATTTTGAGAATCAAATAGGTTGAATGTTTTTTTTTTCCTTCTTGCGATGAAGCATGCTTACAAATTACAAGTGGTCTCGAATATTAGGTAAATGACTAATTAAAGCATTAAAGGAGCCAATAAAAAAACAGAAAAAAATGACCAAATCTCTGGAAGAACAAAGAAAAACTATTATGTTAATATGTTGAATTTTTCTATTTAAATTGAGTAATTATATTTAGTAAATTTTCAAGAAATTTCTACTCCCCATTCTATTTTGTTTAATTTGTGACTATCCACTTAATGAGGGTAAAGTCCTTGACCAAATTTTAGGAATTTAATTTGAGACTTGTTAATTTGATAGAGCAAACATCACATAAGTTTATAACTTTAGTAACTTGATGAATTCAAAATTTTAAGAATCATTTAAGTTTGATAATATAAGATGATGTCAAACATTATAAATTTTACAAATTAAAATTCAACTGTCATGTTTATCGGCGAAACCCAAACCATTAAAATAAGTAAGAGACATAATTAGTATATTAAATATATTCCAAAGTGACTTGCTTGTTTAATAAAGATTTTAGAATGTTTGACTTTAACAATTAATTTATTTTACTTACAAGTTTTATAAGCTATAACAATAACTAGTTGCTATCTAGTTAGTTTTGAAAAAACTAACAATAACGACTTTTTTCGAGTTTGAGAAAACGTCAAGGTAGTTCGTGCGTATATATATATATAGCTATAGAGTTTCGTGTCAATACGGACACAATATAAATTATTTTTTTGTTTCAATTTATGTGATACATATAAAATTTGAAGTCAATCAATTTTTAATATGTTTTTAAATATATTATGATGTTAATTATTACCATTTGTACTACATTTTACATAACTTTCGCGTGATGAGTATACTTTTTGTTCCAATTTAAGTGACATAGATGAATTTGAGAGTCAAATAATTTTTTTATCTACACTAATTTTAAAAACTGTAAGTTGCTAATTATTGTGATTTATAATATTTTTCAAATTTAATTTTCACATAATATATATTATTCCATTTGTGTTGATTTATGTAATACAAATGAAATGTCAAAAGTCAATTAACTTTTTTTTAAGTTCTTTTTAATATGTAACTTGTAATTATTGTAATTTGTAATGCATTTTATGTGTTTTACGTAATATATATGCCTCTAATATTCCAAATTATGTGGTAAGGTTGAAATTTAAATAGTTAGCAAAATTTTTTATTTATTTTTAAGTATTTTAAATTATTAATTATTATAATTTATAATATTTTTTAATCCAAATTTCTATCTATATTAAGCAATAAAACAAGAATATTTAAATTATCATATTACCCTCGACATACAGAGCTTGTAGCATCTTCTATAAATAGAATAGTAAAGTAATAGAAGAATAGAATAAGAGCCTGTTTGGCTCAGCTTAAAAGCTGGTCAAACTGACTTAAAAGCTGGTTTTTGACTTATTTATCTGTTTGACAATACTCAAAATAGCTTATTTTAAGTTAAAAAAACTTATTTTAAGTCAAAAGTTAAAAGCTGGGGTAGGAGTGTTTTTTTTTTTTTAGCTTATAAGCTGTTTTAAGTTGACCACATTTTTATGTTTTTTCCTTTAATATTTTTATACAATCTTCAAATTACCCATATAACCCTAACATCTCTTTCTTCTATTTTTTCTTTTTCACGTTTGACATAACAAATTCAGCACTTTTATCCAAACACATAACTGCTTATTTTAAAAATAAGTTTCAACACTTTCAAAAGTACTTTTTAAAGTTGCTTTTATTAAGCACATCCAGACGGGCCTAAATGTATAAAATTGTTAAACTATCCAAATATAGTGTGATCCCACTTTTTGCATCCGCACGTGGAGTATTACGTTATTAAAAACAGTAAAAAATTTCTAAATTAATTACAATTACAAAATATTATTTAATTAATAAATTAATATTTATTAATTAATTACATTGTTTGAAAGATGAAGCCTCAAGAATTTTAAATGAATTTTGTTAAATAAAAATAATATTTATGAATTTGAGGTCATAATTACCACAATAAAATAAATGTTTATAGCCTATTCAATTATTCGGTATGAAAATAACACATATTCAAATGTTTAAAATATAAAATAAAAGAAAAAATGTACAAGTACCCCTCAATCTATATTTGAAAATCTAGAAATATATTTACATTATACTAAGGTCCTATTATCACTGAACTTATTTTATATATAATTTTTTTTATCTTTTTTGACCTACGTGACACTAGTTTGAAAAAAAAAGTCAACCAGCGTTGGGCCCACAAGATAATGTCATGTAGGTAAAAAAAATAAAAAATTATTAATAAGATAAATTCGAGGGTAATAGGACGTTAGTATAGTATAAATATGTTTCTAAAATTTCAAACATAAATTAAAAAAATACTTATATATTATGCTTAAAAAAGATGGTAGATATCAACAAAGATCCGGAGCTTAGAAGAATTTGTTCAGAAATTTCACTATTCTTATTTTTACAATTTTACAGCTCTGCAACTATTTCCAGTTGAATAAATTCAATGATCTCTATATAGTTTGACCAATACTTTGTTTATTCACCAATAAAGTTAAAAGTATAATACGTATATTGGATTATAAATTTTATTTTAAGTTTTAACGTTGATTCCAAATTTTTATAGTGCGCAAATAGACACTCACCAATAAAGTTAAAAGTATAATACGTATATTGGATTATAAATTTTATTTTAAATTTTAACGTTGATTCCAAATTTTTATAGTGCGCAAGTAGACACTTTAACTATCCTATCTTTCAATAAATAAACACGCGATTTTTGAAGCCAAAGTGCGTGAAATTCAAATACTCCCCACATGTATTAGTGAGTCAATCAGTGGCTGCCAACTAACTAAATATTTTACATGTCTTTTTAAAAAAAAGATATCTTACATGTCATTTTGAAACTAAAAAAAAAAAATTAGTTTTAATTAATATAAAAGAGATTCATTAAGGGTAGAATTGTCATTTCAGCATTTTTTTACCTTTGTGGGCCTCGAAAATTCCCGCTCAGTGCGTGCATTTCATGCATTTTGCCAGGTAGGAATCTCGTATTTTTTATTAAAAGATGGATAATTAAAGTGCCTATTTGTTCACTATAAAAATTTAAGATAAAATTAAAATTTGAAATTAAGTTTAAAGTCCAATATATATATTATTCCATAGAATTAATATACTTTATGTCGAACTCTAACCCCAATATTCCCTTTGAAAAGCATTAACCAGACGTTTTTCACTTCAAGTTGATCCATATTGAAAATGTTTAATTGAGAAACTTCATGATATAATCAGTTGTTTAATTGAAACAAGTAATAACTAAATGATTAAATAAAATTTGATGACAAATTTTAGAGACTGACAATGCATTTAAATCTGATAATAATAATAATAATAATAATGATAATAATTTATTAGCCATAAAAAAAAGGGTATTCATGACAATAATTCTTCGATCTAAACTTAGCAAGCTCCAAAAATGATAAGCAAACAGTGAAGGCCTCGCAGAGTTTGTCCTTATCATGTTAAATCTTAGTGGTCCATCTAATTTTCATATATATAGTTCCTCCGCGATAATATCTTTTTGAAAATGAAATTTATTGGTAACTCATTTAA